CTGGAGATTTTGTTTTCGCGATGCAATCGAAGATCATCAATTAGTCGGGCACGCAATGACAACTACTGAATTTACGATGACTATTCTACAATCCATATACAATAATAACAATATATGCAACCAAATATACTTTTTAGTGATTTTATATTGTAACTTTGGTTGCATACAATTTTATTTTGTTTTTCATTTTAAATTGGTGTAAGATTAAAGTAGCACTTAGAGTACTTAAAGTCCCATTATCCTGATGGGTCGATTCGGGTGTTTTTTCGAGACTTTGCCGCCCTCGAAGCCGTCAATGGCATTAAAGCCGTCCAAAGTCCGCACCGTCCGCACGATAGGAAATTAATCTATAAATCGCAATTAAACCTCTCGCCTCGTGGCGCTCTCGGCGTGCTTCTTTTTTAACTTTCAACTTTACGTCTTTTCACGTTTTATCACGGCGGTCTTAATTACCCAGGGTACACCTCACCCAGTATTTATTCTTTCTTTACCTTCGTACGTCGTACTTTAAATTAAACTCGATTAAAGTCGATTCAACTCAATAAATTATTAGTTTTTTTGCACTTCCGTATAATAGAAAGCATTTCTTGTTCGGTAGTGCGTTTCGTTTATCTGCTCAATTGAAATTTATGATTCGGACAATTGTGTTTTATCGACAAGCCGCGATCGTTACACTTGCATTCACTTGAAAAACACTTAATGCACTAAACGCATTTGATTGTACGTGCGATTACGCGATGAAGTGGTTCGATTTGTTCCATTTCAAATTCTATCTCTGATCGGAGAAAGGTGTTTGCGTTCCAACACGAATCGAAAACGAGGAACTTGTCAACCAACTGGTAAATGATTTACGTTACACTAAAAAGTGCAAGTCATTGAAGATAGCAACCATGGTAACCTAAATACACATGTATTATTGGTTGCCTATAGTAAATATTACATAACGCAATCTTTTGACTACTGTGAGTGTTTAAAACGTGTTGCAGCCGTTGTTTTCGCTACTCAAGCGTGAAATTTGTATTTTGTCGTAATCGCAGAACGTTTTCGATATAAATAAATACGTGCACGTTAGTTTAGGATAAGATTTCGGTTAGAATACGTAGAATTACGTGTATTATAACATAAAATATTTAAAGTTATTAAACTGCACTGCATATGAATAATGTAAGTGATGTAATCAAAAGTTTCACTTTTAAACAACATCAAACATTTTTCAATTTGTAACTTTTTGTTATCAAACTGGGCCAGAAAAGTTCGGTGATTTGATTCGTTGATTTTTGCATCGAATACAATTATGAGAATGGGTTTTCTTTGTTATCAGCGTCCGCTTTTTCTATTTTCTGTTTTTCAGCGAGTTCAGAGTTCAAGATGAGTCAGCAAACATCGATTTAAAGTGCTTCGCATTCGCATGCATATAAAGTTGCCTATCTTGAAAGTTTGTTCAACTTCTAAAGTAAACATAACCTCTTATAGGTTATTTGACGTTTTTAGAGACGTTTCAAAAGATTGCTTTGTTACTGGCAAAAATTATGATGATTTATTCGCACCACTCGCAAGATATCATCTTGTTTTGTTATTCTCATGGATATTATTTTAATAATTACATAACAAAGTTATGCCTATGGCAATTATAACCAATTGCGGTGAAATTCAATTACCAAAACAATAAATTTCACATTTCATCATCTTATTTCACATTATACCCCCGAAACTTTAAACTTTAGAATATGTTTCTTAATATATTGTTAATTATGGTTGCATTAGAAGCTAACTATGCGATGATTGCAAATTTAGCAGATTGTTGCAAAATTATGCATGTGTAAATTAATTTGATGGCAGAAAAGGTGAATAACCATAATGTTTGTGATGCCTGTAGGTTTGGTACTCGTACTCGTATGTTAAAGTTAATGTTGGAAGAAAAAAAGCGTGGTTTATACTTTCGAATTCTTCATCATCAACAACAAGTCAGTAACTCACTCGTATGAGAACGCTCGCGAGTGTAATAACAATTTCGTATTTTCTAACATCTGAGGATAAACGACGGCGAAAGGTTAAAGTGCACGTAAGATCAAGACATGATTTTGTAAATTGATAATTGTAAAGATTATAGGCAGTGTTATGCGTTCACTTTTACTCAAAAAATTAATATTAACAAATTAAATCTTCGTTTTCTTCGGTTTTATTGCAATTTTTATAGCAAAAATTAAATTTTTAGGAAAAAAAAATTCCTTTTGATTTTCGAAATGTTCTCCTTATTCACCATGTGATTAAGTTTGACTTTTGGATTTGCAATAGAAAAGTCAATGATTAAGACGTGTAATGCGCTTTGACGGCGAAATCCAGTGATGATTACCCATGCTCCTGATTAAAGGTTGATCTTTGAGCAGGCGAAATTGCAAAGTGCATTCGTACTCACACATGATATGCCTGCACTACGCTCGTGTCTTGAGATGAAGATGTGATACGCGGAGGCGTTCGTAAAGTGCACTTAATGTCAGACCAAACAGAACCGAACGGCAAATATTAACAAAGCGCGCTTCCTGGTTTCTCGAATCATGAGCGTTAAAGACATTTAAGGACATCACCTAAACAGACATCACATTAAAACAATATAAAATAAATTTTAAGTATTCTTACGTATGTAGTTTAATAGCTGTTAATATAAATTTTGTGGTTATGTTATTATTAACTACGTACTCATCTCACTTGTTTCGCGTGTTTCGTTTTCGTGCGCGCTTATTATGTGAATTATCAACTTTCGCTCGCGAAACTTTTTAACTCTTTCAATATACTTCACTTCGCTTCACTACCTCTACGTCGCAAACTTACGCTGAAACTTTTGGCGTTTAACTTGGCTGCGTCACTAGTTCACGCTCGTTTCGCGATAGATTTCCAACTTTGCGCGTTCATAACCTCACAATTCGTGCAACGTGCAACGAATCGAGAATTTGATGCGTCATTCTTACCACATAGTTAGATAGATACAAAAACAACAGAAACAAAATTATATTAAATGATGCTACGAAAGTAAAACTAAACTGATTCACGACGTCACGATTCTCAACAAGACTCCAGCCTGTCGATCACTTCAACAGGTGATTAAACATTACGTTGGTAAGGATGATTCAATAAGATGTTACAAAATATTATACAATAACATTTTAGGTTATAAAAATGGTAATATCGTGTTACGTCCTGTTTGAGCAAGATTTTTAGCTTATTTCAACAATAATGTTTGATATTTTTTATATTTCCTGCGAAGTGTGTCATTCAAGTTTAAGTTGACTTAACTCATTGCGTTAACTCGGTTAATGGCACATACAGCCTGTGTACATGGGCTGGGCGCATGCGCAATGAAATTTAGCAAAGTTTACAACACTTTCTGATAACATAATACATAATTAAAGCAGACAAGTGACAAGATACACGAATAAAGTTTACTAAAGCACTCTGCACTCCTGGAACATGAGTACAGGGAGTACTTAAAATCTAAATGTGAAGTTAAGTACGATTTAAACGGTGGATTTTGTTGCGCATTGTTTCGGGGCGTATGGAGTCTGGAAACATTTGCAAACACCAACTTTGGATGTGTGTTCAGCGTGCTCAGATGTGCTCGAATGCAAAATGGCGATTACATCATCGCATTATTCGCCGACTCGCACTCGGCGAGCGCATCATCTCCTGCGGTACGTGTTCGCAGTGCGCACGCATTGCAGCAATGCACATTTGCACAAATAATGCTTGTAATGCACACGTAATGCACTTTCGAGTGCATGTTCACATGCCTACGGAATGCTTTACCAGGTCAATGCAACCTTTAAAACGCACACATTTTTAAATCACTATAAATAAACGAAATTTTTGTTTAAGTAGAAAAGTGTGTAGCAGTCGCAGTTGGCTTTTGCTATGCGCTGTGGGGGTGTACAGCTTGAGTGAGAACAGACACGTTGGAAATCTAATTAAAATTGCTGCCCCAACAGACATCGCACAGCGAGGGTGGCTGGAGAAATTTTTATCGTTCGCTTAATGCAAAGTTATTTTTGTTCGCTCACTTCAGGCACGTACCTACATTGCTTTCATTTTCTTTTATGCTGCAGTGCATATATTTAAAAAGTCAGGAACATTTTATCATTAGCTGACAATGATAGTAAATGTTTAATTTTTGTTAAATATTTAACATTTCTAGTAATATTAAGATGGTTTTATCACCATTGGTATAAGACAGCAGCGCCGCCTATCGGCATATGCGTAAAACGTGGCAAAACTTGTTTTTCACAATTAAAACTCTGGAAGTTTGCTGAAAAGATCCGGATATTACTGATTTCCCAAATTGCGTGGTGCGGATGACGACAAATACGCACAGTCGTAGGAATCTCAACAAGGTCTCCAAGAAAATGAGCGCAATGAGGAAAAAATCGCCTTCCGGATCGTAAAAAGTTTAAAGTTTAAAGCGAAAAAGTTTTAATGATATCGAAATTAAGAAACTTTCATTTGGATTCATATTCAAATTGCCATTCGTATTCTTTGCTTCCTTTCTTGGTTAAACTTTATAACAACGCAAAAAACATAACATAAGCTATAAAAATAAAATACAAAATAATTATTTATTCTGACAGTCAATTACCTACGTCGTTATCATGTATTTAAGAATTTCGCATCGTGTGGAATCGTTTTAATTTTGTATTGATGAATTTATCGAGTGGGACTGCGATGTTTGCGAATCTGTTGCCATCAATGCAGCGCGTATTCAAAAAGTATGCGGCCAAGATTTGCATTGAGAGTATAAGGTCGGTTGGTAGAGTGTTCATTACCTTTTCATTACATTTTCATTACGGTTTCATTACACCACTCGCAATTATCAACTCATCTCGATGCGATGCGATGCGGTGCGTGCAATTTATATGCACATTTGCTCATTTGCATGCGCGCTTCAAAACGTTTTCTACAAATAATACAAAATGTATATGCAAGCAAAGCAACTACGTAGATATACATCAATATTAATCGCCACAGATTTTTATATTTACAGTTTTGCGGGTAAACATAGTTTAAAAATGTTTAAAAACTATTTTTATGCGCATGTCGGTAATGTAGATTTTGAGCTGTCGTTGCAACCACTTCAAGGTCAATCTTGTTTGCATAGGTTGTTTGTGCTCGGCTCTACTGCAAATGTGATTGTAAGACATAGTCAACACAAAGTTAATATGAATTGTTAGTGTGAGTCTTACAACTGTGCCTCGGAGGATAAATCTTCATTTCCCGTTACTATTTAAGCACGGTATGTAATATAGTAATAGTTTTTCACTTTCTTTCTAGTGTATTTACGTTCTTTTGTGATTTACTGTTAGTAAATATTGCTAGTGGCGCCGCAGTGATAAAACTATGGCACTATGAAACTAAAGCAACTACTAGGGTAATATAGCAGGGCTGCCAACTGTGAATCCTGAATTTTCCACACGCTAACCTAAATTTTTTAGCGTGGTTGTGAAAGTTTGTCGTGCTGGTCATTGTGTCTTTGAAATTGTTTTTCGGAAGATTTATGGCTCCCTTGCATGTGGGTTTATTTCAATCGGTGAGTACTACATTTAATTTTCGACTTTCTCAAATTTCCAATTTCCATCTGTGGCAAATGCACTATCACCCAATCCGATTGTCGTTAGTGTCGTCAGACAATACCTCAAGCAGCCATTACAGTACACTTGACGTATTTCACGCTAGAAGTTTTAAAGTGTAAACGCGTTAAAGTTTTCCGTATCATTACATCCTCCGGGAGTGCATTGTGGAGTGATTTACGCTCGTGATAGTTTTCACCGCTTGGATGGATGGCTCGTATTGTCCCATGTGCAATTAAATCGTTATAGGTAAATTATTATTAGCGTAGTCATGCTAATGCTCGTTAATGCGCATGCGTGGGATGCGCGATTAAAAAGCACTTTGACAATCGCCGGCGATAAATTAGTCGGCAACAAACGGATGAATAAATCGTTGAATAAACACGATAGAAAAACAGACAAATAAACAAAAGACTAGGCAGATGTGTTGAATTTGATAGTTTTATAACTTGCAATTGTGTATGTTTAGTATTTTTAAAGGAATTTATCACAATTTATCGCATTTTATAGCATTTTATTGTAGTCGTTGGGAGAATGCATTTATTTTTCACAACTGATTGAACACGAACGTAAACGCAAATCGACGCATCGATTCGTTGCACACTGCGCACTGCATTTGATACTGTGTTATTTGTATCACTAAATATTTGACACAGCGTGGGAATACACACATTTACTGTTATAAATTTAAACAAAAAAGTATACGATCTACGAAATCAATCAATTAATACCTAAATTTAATTTACAGATAAAATTAATTAGATACCTGTTTAAAAATAGACCTCAATGAATCAATGAGGAGTAGATAATTGTGACATGAACATCCTGTTTAAACTTTTTACTTAAATAATTAGTGTGCTCGAAGTAATGGTATGAATATTAATCATTCCTGATACGTAATTCATGAAATGTGTGTTTATTTTATTTGAAGTCGAGTTAATGCTTGAAAATATGTGTTTAAAACGAAGAGAAAAGAAGAAATAGAGGAGTACGTAGAACTAGTTGATCCGTGATCACCTTGATCACCTTGATTTTTATTGCTTTCTGTGGCACAAAAGTATATAATATTTAGATATTGCATCGCACGGCGAGACGCATCATAAAAACACTAATATCAACTAAAATAGTTACACTTTTTCGGTTAAAAACGTTTAAAATTTCGAATTTTTAGCATTTCAGGTCAAAAATGATGAGATGAGATTGTAATCAATTGAATTCGGTCAGTTTTTACCTATTTCGAATAAAATTAGTCTACTTTCATTTAGTTTTTAGTAAAAAAAACTATAAATTTTTACTAATTTCTAATTAAATGCCGGCGCTAACTAGCCTAATTAACTTTTAGTAGCAACTTTCTCAGTTTAATTTTTGTTTTTATTGGCTGCTAACTGTTCGTTTACCTCCAAATCACATATTTTCGTTTATAAATTGTCAATTTTGTAAATATTAACATGAAATATTGTAAACTTTAATTTATAAAAGTAATAAGTCATAAAATGTAACGTTTAGGTGTAATACGTATAAAAATTTATGTCGGAAACATTTTAGCGCGTTTCTTGTTTATTTTTTTATATTTCAAAAAGTATTTCATGCGATCATCCGCATCTTTGCATCGTCAGCACTATTTTTGCTCTATTTTACCCAACACACTCAAGATCGTATGATTCTTACGAGGTTGGCCTGCGATTTGCGCCATTTTCCCCACGCCCGCCATAACACCGCACAATAACTTGCAGACGACTGCTCGTACCTAGTTTTATCGGCGTCCCGACGCCCAGCAACGCGTTTTTTCTTCTTTATTTGCTCGATTTACTAAGTGTAGTCATTTTTTTCAGCAAAATTCAACATTTTAATGATATTATTTTTCTTATGCAACCAAACACACTAGGAAATATTAAAATACTAGCGCAGTAACTAAAAATATAATAAAAAAGAGCATAAATTCATCTTTTTCTTTTATAAAGATTTAAATGTGCTTAAAGTTTATGTACCGCAAAGTTTCCGACATGATAATATCCTAAAGGCAGTGAATTTACGAGACGCTAGAAGAAACTTACAGTTTTCTTTATTTTTAACGATCATCGCGTTATTGTTCACTCTCCAGTGACAGTTTATTTGGTTGCATAACGCCGGTGTTTACGCCTTGCTTCGCAATACTCCTTTGCGCAATTGTTTCGCATGTTTTGAGGTTATAGAGGTTAAATTTATATGCGCTTGAGCTTCCTGTACTCTTAAACTTGTACAATCGCAAACATTTCCGGCGCAGGTATTACTCGACTTGTTCTCATTCTTATAAGGTTGTTTGTTTGCTTACAGGTTAGTCGGCGTTGTTTGTGTTGCCTATCCTCCACGACTTGCACTACGTATACTGTAAGTACGCCATTTTATTTAACTTTTTGTTTTTTTGTTGTTTATTACGTACTCTGAGCATGGTATAAACTTGCGAGTGAAATTCAAGTGTTTATTGCGCACATAAATCCCGTTATTAAATATCTTGCCGTTGACTCTATGTGTTGCGAAATACTTTCGCAGCAAGTGGAAGATGATGAAGAAGAAAAATTGCGAGTTTGCCAAGAGGCGCACTCTGGATTGCAATACGCGCGCGCGCGGCTCTTGTTTGTCGCGTTTTCCGGGTATAATAAACACTTGCCGACGACAAACAAGACTTTTACGGCCATCTTGTGCTTTTAATTTTTTTGGTCGCACACTCTGAGTAGGAAATATTATCGCATGGTCATAAATACCGCTCGCAGTAGAATTTGTTACAGTTTCTGTTTCAATTCTTAAGTTAAAATTAAATTTCAATAAATCACTCGTTTGTTTACGAATAATATTTCGCTAACGCTTTGGTAGCGTTTTCCATCATTGCATAGAAGCTCTTGAGAATGTTTCGGTATCGTTTTTCTTGATGCAGCGTGCGCGGCGCAGCGTCAAAAGTTTATGACTTATGCGTTTTCGGTAGCGCTGAGTTTTCCAATACCTGCCGCGTGTTCGTTGGGTTGCCTGCGTGGCCGCAACGTCGGAGAGCAGGAAAATTCAATTTACGAACGCAAATAAATCAGCATCACTTCAAACTTACCCGACAACCGAACGAGCGAGCGCCAACGATCGCAGTGGAAATAAATTAAATAAAACATGAGAACGTTGAGAAAATAAAATAAAAACTAAATCGATACACACAACAATAACAACCGCATGGCTAGAAATAAATTAAATGATTTATAATAACGCCAAAAGAGGAATAAATGTCTGTACTTGCTTAATTGAAGATGATAATTTAAACATTTCGAATTAAGAAAGTTGCGTATGTGGTACTGACACATTGAGCTACATTTTCTCCCAACTCTTACTTTAGTATGCCGAATATATATTTAATGTCTTTATACTTTTTACAATCTTTAACGTTATTGTCTGCTTGCATCAACAATTCGCATGACTACACGTCGTGATATTGCAACTGCAACCGCAAATCTAGTCGAATTTGCATTTACAACCATATTCGCCGTTTTACTGCATTTTGTGTGGAGGTTTTTTTTGCGTTCGCGGCGGTATACGGCCACATCGTGCGCGGTAAAAAGTCGTAATGACTGAATCGCTCTCGAATTGGCATGTAATTTGTTTTTGTGCATGCGGCTGTCGTTAAAAAAGAAAGAGTTCTCTCTAAGAGGAAGAACACCGTCGTTTCACCGAGCTTTACGGGCTTAGAAAGAACCGTGATTGCTAGGTTTTCAATTATAGACCACTTTCAAAATTTCATTAATAAAATAATTCGTTTTTTTGTGTGTAGATCATTCATTGTTTATGAAATAGTATGAACAATTATAATATTATTTGAGTTTTTTGATGTAATTGAACATAAAGTGAATAATTTTACGCTTTTATCGTTTTTAATTTTTAAATTATTGCTTGTACACTAATGGAAATGCATTCAAAATGTGCACAACTAAATTTTGCATTAACAGATATCATAGATTATTTATTTAGTTTTGAAGAAATTGGCATAAATGCTAAAATTTCATAATTTTCCTCTGAAAATTTACATTTTTCTAAGTTAAAATCTGAAGAGCTTTAGAAATACCAGTTTTTTCTCAATTTAATTATCATATGCGCGGTATCTTTTTAAAATTGTATTTATTTTAATATTATAAACGATCAATAGATTGCGCCCGTTGTCCTATTGTGGATATGATAAAAATGTATTACCTTGTAAATTCCATCGACGAGTTTGATAAGCTCCTCCGTCTCCATGTTGATTATTTTTTTGTTATCACTTTAGAATTCAATGCACAGTTTTAACGCGCCAAAGTTGTCTTCAACACCCCTCGGAGGGTGTTGCAAATTTAATAAACTTTTTTTTATATTTTTTAATAAAGTCACTTTCTTGCTTTGATGTATTAACACGTATATGTGTGTGTGGGTAATGATGGTACGTGGCACAGCGTCAAAAATTGAATTTTTACGATTTGATGCTCGGCATGCCTGCCACCTCCCCCAGCGGTGCCGGGAGAAACACCCGCGTAATACACGACTTCCCCGCACACCTCGAACACGCGCGCGCTGCGAGACTAATTCACATTCAAATTTAGAAATTGTTTATCGATTGTTGCGTTTGTGGGTGGTCGGTCGGTGCTAGACTTGCGTTCACGCCGTCAACGGTTCATCAAAGCCGAAATTCACTTTGCATGTTGCCGTGTCCATAATACCGCCGGTGGAGATGGCTGCAATTTTTCCGGATATCCGATTAGCTCGTTACACCACCGCAAATCTGTAACAGTAATTAATTTATTATTAAATAATTATTGAAATAAATTCAATATTTGAACGGTTTTTGATGGTTATAATTACACAAAACCACAAAGTTAATAAAACTAATTAAACAGTTAATAAATTAATTATTAAAACATAATTACTTAAAAAATTTTAAAAAATATTTTTCTTCTGTAACTATGTGTTAAAACAAGTCACTGCAATTTGCCGCAGGATGTAATTGCTCCGAATAGTTTTGTTGGTTAAGCACAACTAGTGTTAAACTGTTAAACTTAAGTAACTTTCTTTGAAGCCACGAAGACGGCGCGCGCGACATCGACACTGTCTTGCAGCGCTCGAGTTTAAACGCGCGGTGTTAACGCGAAGAGCTCGAAGACAAGAGTGGTCTTACCACTTTCCAACTTGGGTACTACTCGAGATTACACTAGCCCAGAATAATCTGCGCTACGTTCAGCATTCCGTCAAGATTCTGTCTCCGAAGTTGAGACTTTACTTAAGTTAGAGGTGTGGTTGCATCGTTCAGGTTGTCTTGTTGTCTACGTTTGTTGCGCTATAACTTATCTGTTTGATATCGCGCAAGATTGATTAAAATAATATCCGGAAGGAGATTTCGTGGAGATTAACCGTACTCAAGGAGATAGTCGCACAGTTTGTTGTTTTCACGTGATGTGGGTTAGAGTACAAGACTGCAATGATGCAGGAAGTAAAATAAAAATCGTTATGACTCCGAAACTATAAGAGATATAGCAATGAATTTTGTTTATATCAATAGATAATCATCAATAGAATAAAATAGGTTATAAATACTTTTAAATTATTTAATAATTTAGGTGCAATTTAACAAAAACTTTTGAAATTATTGTTTTCTTGGCGTGAGTTAAGTGAAATATTATCTTAAGTCGGTCGCATTCACGGTAAAATTTAAACCATCTATGTGTACCTAACATATCATCGCGTTTTGTCATTAAATGTCGAAATCTAGGTTGCCAATGCCAATCGAAATCGATCGCTTGAAAAGACAAGAAGCAAAATGCTTTAGTGAAAGAATGAGAGTTGAATGAAACATGTTAAAAACCACATTTCTTGCTCGAATAATTTAGTCCATTTCTTATTTCTCTATCATATCTGCAGTCTGTCGGTAATTGTATCAGTGGATAAAATTAGAAAATGACTCGAGATACACTCCTTCAGCCTCAACCGCTTCCAATTTAATTTTTTTCTATTTTTACTTCAACATTAAATTGACTTCTAAGTAGGTCTTGCGTTTTGTTAGCAGGCAATTATTTCTATAATAAACTGTATCATAAATAATTTATTCGTTTAGGCATAATTCTTAATAAATTTCATCGATTGTAAACATACAGATGGTAGCTATACATCTGGATATGAAACATGACTTAAGTTAAGCTACTCGTAAGTTAACAATATATAAGAAATCGTTCCGGTTCTAATTTTAAATTTCATTTATTATTTTGCTCTTTACTTAACTTAAATAGAGTAAATCTTGAAATTTAGTTAATTTAAGTCATATTTTTTATTAGCCTGATTTTACGTATTTAAATTAAATTTAATACGCTGTAAAATCAATTGTTGTTTTAGTTTTGTTGTCACTAGAATGATTTGAATGTTAATTCTTCATTGGTTGTAACTCGAGTACAAAACAGTTGTCCTTGTTCTTGTTCTTGTGCTCCTGGCACGCGGTTTTACACGCGCCGTGTACTAACGGTGATAAATTACGTTTTGCATCGACAACAAAAGAATTTCGAGCCACGGCGAGCGACGTCGTCAGTCATTGAGCTAAGTAACCGAGTAACATGGTGAGTTAGTAAGCTTTGTAATCGATGACCTAATAAAATCAGAGTTATTCACATTCTAAATTTAGTGTAATTTAAAATACAAATGGAAAATAATTGATTTTAACAATAAAAAATTGCGTAATATTAATGTTTAGTTTAAAATAAGTAGTCTAGACATGTTGTTGAATTTTTGTTACAATTGAACAAATACTTGTTTTGATAGTTTATTGGTATTTTAATTAAATTAATTATGCAAATTAATATCCGAACATGCATGTATAGTTGAAAAGTTAAACCAATAAAAAGCAATTCGAAATGTTAAAACACAGCGGCGAGTTAATTATGCGCCGTTTTCAATTTGTCCAATTCGCATTGATATTTGCGCTGATGTTTGAGATTGGTATTGAGTTGGTCGTTTCATTAATTTGATGTTTGGCAATTAAATTTAACGATAATTCGCTGGATGAATGCGCGCAAACATTCGGCGCGCATCGATTAAAAGCGTAATTAATTTTTTATTACTATTTAATAACGAAATTTCATTTTTATAAATTATATATTTTTAAATTTGATTTTGATTTCACTACAATACTCGCATAGTGAAAATTTCTCAATGCATTTCGAAACATACGTTATTCGCATTGTGTTCGCTCCGTTGTGATTTTTCCGCATACATATTTCTAGTATACTCATAGTTGTACATTGTACGTGTCTGCATTTTCATTTTGCATTTCGTCTGCGACCATTTACCGAGTGTGTTGCGCTCTGCTTTTGCTTCGCCGCTTGCTTGCATTCAATTTGAATTTAACATCTGCCACGTCCGCATCGACGTCGCTAGTTACTTTCTATTGACGGTAGCCGCTCGAATATTGAGCGTCTAAATATTTATTAATTCCGCACCGCTGTCGGGCCGGCCCCGGCGTAGATACTCTTCTAGTTTCTCCTGCGAGTCGAGCAGGACTTTCTGTTGACATTTAGTTAAACGTCGTAATGCATTCAGCTTAATCAACTGACAGGTGAGAAGCATTTGCAAGCAGCCGAGGTGGCAATGCGAACCAAAGTTAATTTAATCTGTGATGCGCTTTCAGATTAATAATAATTGTTAATAGGTAATTCAGGATGTTGCTATAGATCTAGTGATTAGAATTGAGTGTTAAAAGAGGTGTCCGCTTTCGCAGCGTTGTTGTACAGTTAATTAAAAGTTTATAATATTTATCGGACATGAGGAGAAATCTGATATGAAATATTTTAAAAGTTCTACTAATTATCTGCAATTTAAAGAAAAAAATCATAATTTTTGTTGCATTTGATTGAAGGATTAGTAAAAAGTAAGATTATAGAAGATTAATTGTATCTAGTAATAGATTTTTGCATTTTTTCATTTTCTAGTGACGCAGAAGAAAAAACTTTAAATTTTTCCGAAACCCCAATAAAAATTGCTGTAATTCCAAATCATAACATTATTTTTGTATATTTTGTGTAAATCTTGACGAAAATAACAAAAATACAAATCAAAATTTCTCAAATTTTTCTCAAATATAAAAATAACAAGAAAATATTTACTTTATTTACTTTATAAACAAAGCAATCGAGTAAATATTTTCAAAGCGAGTTTATTTTGAATACAAATGGAAATGTACACGTGAATTTTCTAGTTAACCTTATCTCTTGTCTGAAATCCAAGCACAACACCCCCAAGACCTCTAAGATAATTAAAGACCTCTAACGAATTTAATTTATTCATGCGTTTGTTTATCTCACCGCGCTGCCTCCTTCCCTTCGTGCTTCTGTGCCCGCGTGCCAAACAATAAATATAATAGAAGGGTATATAGTGAATATATATATACAGTATACAAGTTGAAGTTCTCATTGCCGAACACGTCGAAAATTCAGCTTTGGAATTCGCGCCGCAATCGCAACGAAAGTGTTTGCGGATTCGATTTAAAACGAACACCATGCGCCACATTGTGGCGATGCGCATCGAAAGCGTAATCGTAATTTATTGGCGAACGCTTTTATTATATAAATCAAGTCCGTGCGCAATTGACACACCGCCCCAGTCGAAGAGGACAACAGCGAGAGAGTAGAGAATGTGTTATTCTATGCGGTTCGGATAACGCGCGTAAATTGTAAATCATTTGTTTGCCGATAACAGCGAAATGAATTGGTTTATGTGGACATTTATTTAGTTGTAACGCAATAGTAATATTTTAAAAAAGTATTTTTTCCAGTATTTTATGCTTGAAACGCACTTTCAACATTCTCATTACTCATTGTTTTGATTCGGGAATGACTTGAATTATCGCTGCGGATTGAAATCCGATTTATTTGTAAGCTGATTAATTGGTAAACAGTGCGCGTGGCTTGCCTTCGGATAAGTAATAATGTCAATCACTTAATACTAATTGATCTGTCCGTCCCCGACGCGTCCGTCCACAGTGTCCGAGCCGTGTGCGATTAAACGATGCGGCGCGACGCACCCCCGTCCATCGTGTGAGGGATGAAAGAGGATGCTTAAATTGTGCTGGCACAGGTGGATTTTAGCCTGAAACGCATTCTCTTTGTTGGAATTTAGAGAATTTACTTTGAAAGTAAACATTTTTTTCTGTTTTGCAACAACTGACATATCATTTGTGATTATATAATTTCAACATGTTATAAAACATAAATTTAAATAGTTTTTGATATCAAATGTCCATACGTATTGAATTTCCAATATTAAGTATCTGATTAGCTTAAATGCATACAACTGAACAAATTGCACGCTGTTGAGATTTACGTTATGCATTAGTTGTGTACTAGTGTGGTCGTGATGGCAAATTTAGGTCATTGCATTGCACCTTTCGCTCGAAAACGGCCATCCAACTTCAAACTCGCGACTTTCAGCAGTAACAACTTCCTTTCCACTTGCAGCCAGCCACCACTAAACGATCTGCAACAATATTTACATTTGCATGCGGATAAACATCGAGCAACGAGTAAACTTCTTGCGGTTTTGAAACGGTCGTCAGAATTGGAAATTGTTCACACTGACAAGGTTTCAAATGCAATGGAAAGTTTCGAACGTGTGCTGAAAACGTGCCAAATTCAATATTTGGACGAAAATTATCACCGACTATTGATTAATTTTTTTACTTCGGCAAATATGCTTCTAGAAATACTAATAACATTGCACAGTAAATTTCACACCTTATATTCATACACAAGTTGCAACTTGCAACACATTTCATACCTACATGCGCATATTATATGTACGTAGGCCCATTCGTAATTGTTGTTGTTGTTGTTGTTGTACCACCGGCTGGCAACTCGTCGTCGCACCGCCGCTTGTAAATTCTAATCGGCGCATAATATCGCTGGGCCCAGCCTGCTCTACGCTGGTCTAGTCTGGCCGCCCGTATTAATTTATTATTATTAGTCCGGCCCCCCATTTTCATTCGGGCCCACGCGCGCATCCACCATCCACGCCGTCCACGCGTAGTACATTTGCCGAAACATGTGTGCGCAATTTAGAGCACATCGTGTATTCGCCATTTCGTATTCACTCGCCTCCCCACCCACCTCTATAAATGAAGGTACATGTTGAGGTCGCATGTTGAGTGCTACAACCATTCATGAAGTAATGTAAAGTTACTGTGCAAATTACGATCATGATACGCGCACACATATTGCGTTGACTACTTTTACAACTTGCACTTTATTTATTCTTTTGGGCGTGTAGTACTATTATATGTTTATAAATAATGCATGTGGTGAATCTAGAGCAAATAATGTCAAAATCTTTTTAAGTTTATTTGTGCGGGGAGAACGTTTCTGGAAAACTCAATTTTTCTGATAAAATGAACGTTTTGTATAACTAGTTTTTAGTGAAAATTTAAATAATTTATGTGCTAATTTTAGCAATAATATTTACAATTGTATTTTATAGAAACAAGAAATACTAATATTATACTTTAGCGCCATCTAGGATTCAATTAGTTTTCTATCACTATGATTGAATCTCGATACCAATTTTCACCCCTTATTTAACACCTTTCAAATCATAATTTTTAATATTTTCATAGTTATGCTGCTATTCGGGGCCAAGACGAATCGAACAATTCATATATCATAAAAATCTGTCCAGAAGTTTTTGAGTTATAAATGTTGTAACTAACGCAACTTTGTTTTATATAGATTTTGCGCGCTACTATAAAAATTTGCCGTCTTAGAGCGATAAAAGTTAGAATTTCAGTCTTTTATTCAATCGATATCACTATGAAACATTGATTATTCATTAAAGTAATAAAAGTAAACGTGATACTTTTACTATTGGAAGCCATTTCCATTTCATAATCTAATTTCGAATGATTATATTTCATATAAAACAAAGTTTATTTGATACACTATTCTGTTTCGTACTTCCAACATATGTCAACCAATATTAATTTAGTTTTTCTGTATCTTCTTTTGTTGTTTCTTATGAATGATTCGTCCACATTTGTTATCCACTTTTAGGTTTTCGCCTATTCATAGTTGTACCTATAGTTCTATATTTAGTTCTCTGTATCTCTGTTTTCTCTGTCGCGGTAGATTTGAATAATCGCATTCGACGGGTTTTGTGCTCGGGGGGCGGCAGTAAGCCCTTCGCTCGGCTTGCGCTCTCAGTATATGTCCTGCTGTCGGTCGGTTTCGGGTTTCTCTCGTTGCGAGCGCCCGCACACTGACCCCACTTAATCTGCGGCACGCCCGAATTGCTCAAACTTACCGCCGCCGCCACTGCCGCCTCCGGGCCACTACCGCGCGCGCAGGATACATCACGAATGTGTGACAAATTTGGGTGGCGGGCATCATTCAACAAACATACACCCACACACACCGAATGCAACCAGCCACCGCGTTCGGTACTTAGCGATATTTGCAATTTAAATTATGTCAATGATACATCTACGTTACAATATGGAAAGATATCAGCGAGGATGGTAATGAATGACGATATGAATTAATGTTCGCCTGCGAATGGTACGAATTATCGCGGACGACAAATTGACTCGGAGGGAAACTAGTTACAAAGTAACATTACCGCAAATTGACACAATTTGAGATATTTTAACACTAAAATGTTAATAAAAGTAAAAGTTTTAGTTTTATTATTTAAATATTCAAATAAACCAGGATAAGTATAGATATTTCATTGCCCAAACAAAATAGTTTTATTATTTAAATAATATATCATATTGTTTGATGTGTTTATTCTCTGCTGTAATAACAATAACAATAAATAACACGTTAGTTTCAATTTTCACATAGATTTATACGCACGCATTATTATTAACTACAAACAATACTGCGGAAAACAATCTACTCAACACTTAAGTATAATAATAGTTTTAATTTACAGTTGTTATGCAAAAAACATATTAATATAAATTGTACTCGTTTTAATAAAATATTATGCTTAAATTAATTTTCAAAAATATAGTAATTACGTTATATTAAACAAAAGAATAAAACAAATCAAGTAATATTCTATTAACGTTATGTTAGGCATAAATCAAGTTTAATTAAATGAGGAAATTAATTTTGCATATATTTTGCACAAACAATTTGCGTAATTTGATTAGTTCAAGAGTAAATCTTAAAAAACGCGTTACTTCTGCATTTTATTTACATTTACAAGAACTTGTAATTGTACAGCCTTCACTTCAATGTTTCTATAGCGTTTTTTTTTTTTCATGATATAATAATTCCTTGAACGTGTTCGGATGCAAATAAAATTGTTCGAGACCAGTGACAAGTTGACAAGTCACGACTCGTGACTCGTCCCTGAATTATTACCGCCGGTGGCGGCGAGTTATGAGCGGTGCTCCCTCTCGCAGGATATTCGTACTTTTCAACTCGCGCCGCCCGCGACACCCCTACGCCCTTCAGTCTGTCGCCCAGTGTGGCTGCCGGGCTGTCTTTTGCAGTCAGCGCGCCGCGGATGAATGCCAAATGTGGCACTTACTTACGCCAAGATGACATCGTGTCGTAAGCGTCGTAAATCACACGCGGCGAGTACACGAAAAAACTCTCCGGACTCGATTACACACTTATCATTCTTATTATTTGTAAATTACTGCCCACTTGTATTACTTTGCAATAGTATATTCATTTATTTACTACCTAGACATTGAAGTATTTAATATTTAATGGTAGATTAAAAATTTATTTATTTTTACAGGAAATCTTGCTTTTTCACACATAAGGTAAGGTCATTTGTGAGACAATAAAAGGATGGCACTAATCAGTGTCTTGTGATCGTAAACACTTTAATAGTGAGTAACATGCGTGCTTAATTCATGTCCGTGACAAGGTCACCATAAAAACGTTGTTCAAGTGCTCAATTTAGAAATGAAAGTTCAATGTTAATGAAGATCCAAAGTCTTTTGCTCGAATCGGTCACTTTCGATTATGTTTCCATCACGAATTTAATTTTTACGAGCTATAAAATTACTTTAAACATTCACAAAACATTTACAAAGTCACGTACTTATTTAACCTTGTAAAAGTAACATAACCCATATAACCTTAAATTATCATTTATTCGAATTTCGAATGTTTAGATGTCGCTGGTTTGCCATGCGAAGAAAATTAACAAGAAACTTTATTAGTATGAAAGTAATTTCTGAATGGAATGCTAGCAATTTGACATTTATGACATTCAAATAATCATAATTACGAAATGATTAATCTCGCCAGCGTAATAAACTGCGCAGCAATCCTTCTCGGCCGTTGTTAATTTTCATTTTTCATCCGAGTATCGACGGAATACGGAATGTCGATGGTGGTTTTGCTCTGCCCTGTGTGTGTGTGTGTGTGTGTCTACTTGCCGACTTAAGACTCTCGGAGTTATTAATGTTATTAACTTGACTCAGAGCGCGGATAGGTGCATACATAGGTGGGATAGAAGAATGAATGCAGCGCACCAGCACGCGATACAGAATGTTGAATGCAACTGACATTTAAGTGGTTTTCCTAGTAAATTACGGCCGACGAGAAGCCCACGAGAATTCTTTGACTTGTTTTCATACTGACTTGAAAATTTTTCTTTAATTTTAGTATTTTTTATAATAAAATATTTTAGAAATTATTTTATTATAGGTAATTATTTTCTAATCATTATTATTACTTTATTATTCTTGGGTAATTAAATTTAAATGAATTAAAATATACAGATAAAATTCGTTTTGCTTAATTTTACTTTCACACTTGGTGCGCTGTGCTGCACATTTTGAGCGAATCTCTAACAATGAACTTTCGACGCAATTACTTGCTCAGAATAGAAAAGAAATTAATAAATCTAATAAGCACACCCAAGCCTACCCAAGGCCTACAAGAGACTCCAACGGCGCTGATTCGTCATAATCGTAATGAGATTTGTATTATTTCTTTTCTTTTCGTTTTATTATGCGGTGCGCTTCATTTCTCTGTGCCTTTTCACTCATTCACTTACATTCATTTGTTCATCTTTTCATCGTGCGTAATTCTAATATTAAATATATCTCACAGTTCGTAGCACCCGACGCCGCCAATTGAGCATTTCCATTCACTTCCAATTCATTTTCGATTTTTTTTTTATTCTGTTCGGTTTCCTAAACGCGCGAACAACATGTAGACAGAGAACGAAAACGACATTAAAAGAAAAAATAAAAGTAATTGTTCCTTTTACTTCGTTTTCTATTCTTGTGCACTGGGCGAACCGAGGAAATTTCCGAAGGGCGATTCGGCGACGAATTAAATTGATTGAATTACATTCGTAATTTGCCCAAACTGCCGGCCATTGTTAACGCGGATAATGAATGCGGAATGAATGGTAGTAGCGTATAGAAAAAGGACACACACCCTGAATATAATAGAAGACTTGAAATTTCGTTTAATTTAAGTAAAAGTGGTGTATAATTAGATAAAAATCATAAGTTATTTATATTTCTGGTTAAAGTTTCTAGTTAAATAAATGTAAATTTCTACAATTTGCAACCGTTACTTTAAAGCTGTATAAAATTCATTTCCGATAACGAAGATGAAGATTTTCTTTAAAAGCGTCATTAATGTTATTACGTGTGTTAATTTAAAGAGTAATTATGTATTTATGCAGTCGTGAAGAGGAAGACTGTGGCTAAGTTGGAGTCGTGTGTCGAATTGATTCAATTGCATTTCACGTTTTTGCCATTTCCTCATTTCTATTTTTCTATTTCTAGTGAATGTATTTATTGACGTAAACATTTTCGTGTTTATAAATAATATGCTGCTACAACTGCACACAACTAGTGAATGTAATGTAATGAGATATTGAAAGATCTAAAACAAAAAGCAGCCTATTAAACGCATATGATCAGTCAAACCATACGCACATTCGTGCAAAGAGAATTGCCTACCTGTATTAAAAATTTAATTGCCCATTACAGAAGTACTTTATTTACTGCTTTCAAACGTTTTTGCGTTTTATTTATTGATGTCAGGCATGATTTGATGCGTAAATTGGTATTTTTATTGAAAGTCATTTGTTTTTATTCATATTTTCGATTTTTATTGCTTCTACACGTTCCAAACGAACACAAATGACAAAAAATTGAAATATAAAATATTCAAATGAAACTCGGTGTGCGTTTATTAAAACTAACGAGCGTTCATTCCGTTCTGGGATTTTTTTTTCGGGTATCATAGTTTCGCACATTTTGCGAATATTTGGAATTACGAAACGCGACACACCAGCAAAATTAATAAAACTTTGTATTCTTTTAACAGAATAAAAATAAATTGATAGTTTGGTATATAAAACAGGAAAAAACTAAAGCATTAAAATAATGTCAAATATTTATCAGCAACTAACTAACATTGATATGACAAATAAATTTTAAAAATGTAGGGGATAATAAAATTTTATACAAATGGATAATAATAACTATAAACTAAATTTACGTGAGTAATATTGATAGTATTTTATAAAACATTGTAGATAAAATTATCGTTCGAAATGTTTAATTCATCCATTGCTGTTTTATCGCCGGTTTCGCTATGAAATCATCCAGCGCCATTAACACGTCGCGCATTGTTAATTATCAAAGTTTGCAAGACTCGTATATTTGACACTATGAGTAGTCATCGATGATTATCAATAATTTAAAACGCTCGCCACCCGTGTAAAAGTCACAACTCAAAACAAGCCAATTTGTTCCCATAAATATGTTTCCATCAAATTGATAGGCCCTATTGAATCGTATTTCAATGTATGATGTTATGTCCTAGTGTTTTCATCCCTTTCGACGCTCGCATTGCTTTTGTCGACGCGCCTGTGCGTGATATTCGAGACGTCAATACAGGGAATCTTCTAACAGATCGTATAATGGTAGTGGTAGTTGTTGTACTCGTGCATGGGTGGTAATGGTATTAGTAAAAGGTGGTTGAGAGGAATGCGAATATATAGGGGTATAACCGGCGCGCGATCGGCGCACACAGCAAAGTTGAAACGCTGCGGTCGCTTTGTCGCTATCGTGAGATGTAATGAGCGACACGGGGCCTACAGATAGCCATCCCCGAAACCACCCCCGAAACTACCACCTCAACTGTCTAAAACCACCCCTATCAACTATGATTATATCTTATTGCTGAAAATCGACCGGAACAAGTCTGCAAAATTGATAATTATACAGTGTGTTAGGAAACAAATTAAAATTTAATATTTTTTATTTAAATTTATGTTTTAATTGCGATGTAATTGTTAATTTTGTGGTTAATTCGAAATAATTTAGAAAGTTATTGTATTATCAGGTAATTATTAATTGTTTTATTATTTATTCGAAGATAAATTCTTGTGTTGCGTGTTTAACCTGCGGTTTTAACCCTGCGTTCGATTTCGTTAAGCCGAAGGAATTCGCAAACTCGCGCGCGGAAACTTTTACTCTGCCACAAAGATGCAAAGCGCGGAATTTACCGTTAGCGAACTGCAGCCATGCAGCGTAACCGACCTTTACAACAAGTCTAACGCAAAACCCGCAAACGGTACATAAAGGTGAACAACATGAAGCGGAGAGATCATTTCGGAATTTCGAAAATCAAATTAATTTTTGTTGTTTTGCCATTTAAAAAACAAAACGAAAAATATTAAATCTAAAGATTACAACCGCCGCCGCGACGACTGCTCATCTTACAGCTTGTTTTCTTCGAAATGGAATAATAAGGGAATTTCACGCTCGCACGTGTCGACGACTTCCGGGCGTGCCGCCCGCCCTACTTTTCTTCATCCCTTGGCACAAAAGCGCGTTTGCGTATTTTTTCTTCTGCCGCTTTCGCGCGTTGTACGGTGTAATTTCTGCTGTTGCGCTGGTGGATTATAAGCGCGCGCCGTCAGGATTAACGCGAGCTTTTTCGCCCCGCGCATTTGCTAACCACCCTTTCCATCCAGCCCAAGCTCAGATTATGCCCATCTTTCAGCGAGCTTACAGTGCACGCCACTGGCGAAAAGCACTAAATTAAGTGCGCACCGAATAAAACGTGCAAATTTTTAATTAAAGCTTAAAGTACTAAATAATAAAAATAAAAACGCGGAATATTTTTATTTGTACTCATTCAATTGGTGTATGGTTTTATTGGGTTACATATTGAGTTGGGAAAAAGTTGGAAATCTTTGGATATTTTCCCAGATATTTAAGTATTGAGTGTATCCCGATCACGAACGTCCGTTTTTCGCAGAAAGGTCAATCGTTTGGCACGACAATGCACAACTTTCTTTCGCGCGAGAAAATTGCGTAACGCGAATAGAAATAATTGATTTCCAGGGTTTCGATTCTCATTGTCCGCACACGAGCACTAGCCGAACAATAACCGAATAAAGTGCACAAAAGAGTGCGGAATATAAAAGAATAAAAGCAAAAATAAATCAAAATCAACAAAAATGTATATCAATATACTGTTATTTCAAGTAAATTTGTGTGCCCACTCGTAGATTGTGTATTAAACTTATAATATAACAATATATCGATTGCAAGTTTGGATTGGTATAATCCCGAGCAGGTTAAACATCGACGGAATGTCATTGCGCTCGCCGAGATAAGGATGCAATTATGTGTTCACAAAGTTCTCTAATATTGGTGGCTTCGCCCGATTTGGGTGTCCTATGCGCGCTGGCTTGCGTTGCATTAAATCCAGCGGTTAATGAGTTCTGTATTGCCCGCTGCTGAGTGTCTTCTTCGCGGTGGAATAACAGACGGCGCGCTGCATTTTCGCCTGGATTCCCAGGACTCCCAGGAGTGCAACCGCCGCCGCACCACTCGGCGGCGAGATCAAGCTTCGGGCACAATCGTTTTCCCAATCAGATTTTCTCCACGTGCGCCCAACGACTTCCAATTAAAACTTATTCAATTGTGTGCGTGCGCACACTGGCGAGCATTGCGTTAATTAAGCATCACAATGGATTTCAATTACCTTCAGGGTAGCAGTCGTAAATGCAGCGAAAACTAACCTAACATAATGTATTTCTGAACATTTTATGTGATTGTGATTGCACACGGTAAAAATATAATTTATTACGTTTTAATTTATGAATGTACGCCAATTAAAAATAATGCATAGATTTATAGCAAACATTTATTACCGTTAGAAATGAGTTGTAATTCAATAAATTTGCATCATCACCGTTGTGTTCCGAGTATTTTTGCACTAATAAACTTCTTGTTCTCTCGGCGTGCGCGCTTGTTGATCGTGTGCATTTGAAACTGAGATAATAATTAATTAAATATTTTGCATTGCGTAACGCTGGTGTGCGCGTACATGCATCGCGGCAACAACAATTGCGATCGCCGACGATTGCGCAACTTGTGTGTAACTGTGCAATGCTTAGTTTTGAATAATTCAACAATAACTTAAGAAAACTTCGCTTCCACACGTTTATTTTTTTTTTCCTATTGGTACTATGAACAGCGAAGGATGTAAATTACCACCAATAAACCTGAAAACCTTAAAACCTGCAGCAGCAATAATTGCCCAAGTTATTTTATGCGCCGTCATAAAATTAGCATGTAACGGATAAAAATGAATCTGTTTGGAAAAATGCGCAGCGTGAAATGTAGGCACGTCGTTGCACAACCACAACGTCGCTGGCGAACGGCCTCTAATCGGAAAAATGCGCAAATTCTTCACTCTCAAAGACGTTGCAGTGTTGCACACATTGGTTGCATCGATTGGAATGTCGACGCGCGGAATGCTGCGACTAACTAACTCCTTGTGCTTAGTTCTTGCGTAGAGGTATTGCTTGCAGCGACGAAAAGAAAAGTGCAAAGTGTTTTGCAGCTTGCGCGCGAGTTGAACAAATTGTGCCAACGCGTGTCATTGAATTTATCGCGCCGTTTAGCGGTTTATCGAAAGTGATTAACGGATAAAAATTGAAGCGGTATCACGCGTGCAATGTGCAAATCAAGTTATTGCAGACAAAAAATTGTATATGAATAAAATCAAAGCGTGCAACATTTGCAACAAATTGAAAAGAAAATATATTGTAAATAGAAAGACCTTGAGATTTCACAACTGTAAATTGATTTCATCGTCATAATAAATTAATTTATTAGTACTCGCTTTTATAATAATAAAATGTTTAATTCGAATCTATTTTTATTTTTTATGGAAAATTCAATCATTGAATGTTGTTTGAGTGAACATGCAAGTTCTAGAATGTAATAATGTTATTGCTTGCACAGAGCAACGCCTAAACACCGCCATATTGCAAACCTACGCAACCACACACATACATCATGAATAGCGCACGTAAATTCTTCATAAACTTAACCTCAAAAGCATCTTATTGCACTAGCATTAATTCGAAGCATTAATATTTTATTGGTTGTTTGCGTGTCGAGTTTGGTTAATGACACGTCGATCAGATGCAGTTCATGTGTAATTTAATTAACCACTACACCGCTGCATACGCGCTGCATTCGGCCGCAGGTGAATATCGATAATAATAAGTTTGCGCAAGTTTGTGCGCACGCAGAGAACTCATTTTCTGCTCGTTTGCCACAGGATGCCAAATGTTCTATGCATGCGCACGAATAAAGGTGAATGTTAATACGTTTACTAAAAAACGCAAAACATTTGAAAACAGCGCCGTCAAACGCGCGCGCCAAACAAGTTTCGAACTTGTATTTATCGTGTAAACATGCAGTGATGTAATAGTTGCAGCTTTTGTTTGAGTTGGAAATTTTGCTGCTGTTTTCGGTGTTAATCTCAATGTGCGAAATTTCTGCGCGGGCGAAAGCAATTATTATTAGCGGGGCGCGCGTGAGACACTTATGAGCGTGCGGTCATTCGCAACTTGGCGGGCGAGTTTCGTCGTTTCCGTGTCGTCGAGTTTTAATTAAAACGCCTAATGCAGGCATTTAACTTTAATTGTTATGCCGTGCGCCCCGGTAAAACTGCCCTTCTCGCACCAGGCGTACGCTTTGCAACAGGATATAGAAATAGTTTGAGTATAGGCAACCAACGTTTCATTTAATCAAGAAAAGTTTTATTTTATTTTGTGGAATATATTAAAAAAATAAATTGCGAGTCAGACAAATATTTATGTATTAAAGTACGGCGCTTATTTGAACGTTTGCGGTTAAATTTTTGATATGTTTTGAGATGTTCGGAGTGTTTAAGTGTTCTTTGGCGAGTTTGAATGACTTGCAAAGACTTCAAAACGCTTTAATTGGTTTCCTTCTGTCGGCGAGCACACAGCGCGAAACGAAAACGAGACGAATATTATTTAAATGACGAAAACGACACGAAAGTCGACACACAGAGAATCGCTTCTAAGTGCTCGCCCGTACTCGTATATCAATTAGCGTCGAGTTTGTCGCGTTTGTCACAAATTCGCTAATTGAGATTTATTCTTTGTCGTGTCAGAAATTAATTTCTAACGGAAACATTTTACTACTTTTTCATAACATAAACTTTGAAAACTTGTTAAAAGTAAGAAATTTGTGGTGAAAAATGATCGATTGGAAAATTAAACGACTTCCGCTATCAATTATCAATTATATTATCAATTAATTATGCATTAATGACACTCTTTGAAGTAATAAAAAGTTTGCAACGACTTGGACGCAAAGTTTTACGCGTAAAACGAAAGAGAACACTTTAAAAACTTTATGTAAACTTTGTCTAATGATAAAATCTAAACGTGAATCTTTTAAAATTGTTATTATCATTACTTTTTATACTTATAATTATTATTTTGCGCAAAATATTTAAAATTACCTTAAGATTTACTTCTTCGCTTTGTTAAGTAGGTAAACAAACACAATCCAATTGCAATACCACTGGCAATCCGTTGGTGAGTTGTTGATAAATTTAGCAGTTCGAAAAGTTGAGCGGGTTTATACCCGGCAAGCGGGTGCGAAACACGCGAGTTGATAACGCGAACGCGCAAAATCGAAAGCAAACGCTGTGTACCGACACGACTGGTGGCGTTGGTGCGACTGGCGAGTGCAAGCAGGCCGCGCGAGTTGCGACTCCAGACTCGACGTTCTCCTGCAGCGCAGCAGGAGGAGAAGAAGAACTTTCTAATCGCGAGGCGCGCATACGCCCAGAATTCCACGTAGAGTATACTTTGCTCAAAATTTGCTTCGATAACCAACTATTTCTAGTACCTATTTGGCAGGTGTAATAAAAAGTTGAGGCAATTGCAATGAAATTGTATATTTTCTTGATGTATAAAGTTGCGATTTTATGCACGCAGGTTTAAAAGTAGTTATTTTAATGTTGGAAACGATAATAATAGAAAAGGAGAATTTTTTGCTAACCAACTTTGGATTTATAAAAGTTTTATTTTATAAATTTTTCACGAAAAAAATTGTTTAGTTGTGAAAATTTTGAAAAAAGGCTAAAATTGTCATTAATAAAATTATTATTTTATTTTTATCAAAATATTCTATAAATTATGTGACTAAAATAAAAGTTAGAGTTTTTGGATTTTTAGAATATGGAATTGAAAGAGTTTCGCAACCTGTAGTCCAAGTTTTCCGCATTTTAGGTTTAACGTCGGGTAGCGTTGAGCAAAAGGCAAATAAAACGTGACCGCCTTCCGTAATTCTAATAAACGCAGCAGCACTTGGCAATGCTGCGGCCTGCGCCGTGCCAGGGTTGGTTGGCAGGTAAGCACAAAGTATGCGAAAAGCTGGCGAACAAGTCTTAACTTGTTGCCCCCCAACGGGCAAGTCGCAGTGGAATGCCATTGCTCCGGCTGTCTCAAACATCAACCCTCGAATGCTCGCAATCTAGCAAACTAGTGCATTGCGCACCTAATATTAACCGTTGCAGAAGCAATTTCAAGTTTAGAGAAAAACAATGATAGCACAATGTTTGATTTGTTTTATTTTTGGTTTATTAACTTGGTACGATGGTATAGGCAATAGTTAGAGACTCGTAAAACAAATGAATAACGCGGTATCGAGAAGCGAGAACTAGAACGGGAATGAGAAGCAATAATAAAGTTGGGGTGTTGGTGTTGGCGTTGCGAAAAGTTTGAACGCAATGCGAGACGGAAAGTTTACTCTCCTGGCGCGTTATCTACGCTTATGCCCGGCGCCTCCACACGTAACACACGACCAGAACTATTTCTCATAGTGACAGAAAAAAGTAAGTCAACAGACACGGGCTAAATCTAACATTTCATTATATATATATATATATTATATTAATATATATTAATACATTTATTGTATAGGAATTTAACCTGCGCAAAATTATATAAAATATTTTTAATTATTAAAAATATCAAATATTAAAAAATGTTTGTTGTAGTTTTTAATTGCCAAAAGTTAATTTTTAACTTTTTTACGTTAAATTAAAATAGGATAATAGAATAGTTTGAAAATATCAATTTTAATCAAGCTGAGTAACGCATGTTGTAATATTTAAAAAATTTATTGTTAGATATTTGAATTCACGTGGATGGAACTTAGAATGTGTAGCGTTTCACATGCATAGTAGTCAAACATAGGGCGGTAGACTACTCGGGGGTAAAGAACGAAGAATATAATTCACTCACTGACTTATACGACTTCTTCCGAGGGATCTATGGCACTTCTTAGGATTCCACTCAATCTCCTTCCGTAAACGAAACTCAAAACAAAACTATTCAGGTAGATACCCATATTAAATTCATAATGAAATTATTTTATTATAATGTAATGTAGTAATATAATCAATGTGTCTATAAAATTACACTTTTTGTGCATGTTATTCTATTGTATTATATGTTTTCTATTACTCGTACTTTAGTATTTGTTAACGATTGAATTCATAATTTGTTTGCGTGGCTTTTGAGTGACTTTCGCTCCGTGATTGTTCAGCCAGATGCTGAATAAATATTCGCAGCCATTGAAAGGCTGAAAGAAAGAAGGGCACTCTGTTCGCTCGACGAGGGTGAACTCGAATGCCAACAGCCAAATGTCAGCAGGAGCCAGCGAGACTGGAAGACAGTAGACGATTTGTAAATGTAAATCATTTCGCGAAAGTATTCCACATTCAGGCTCGGAAAAGTATTCGAAAACGTCACGTCACTCTCGACGCGAAACGAATTTGTTGTAGGAGTAAAGTATACGGAAAATTAGTGAGGATTTTAATTTGTTTTGCTCTCATTTTAATGATAATTGTGTTGTGCAGGAACTAATTTTGGGTTTTGACAATGTTTTAATATTTCTGCGCAAATATGATGTGACTTGTAACCTCATTGTTTATGATTCTTAGTTTCTTACATCTTCACCTGCTCAACTTGTTAAACTTTCAACGCGTTACATTTTAAATTCTAATGGCATTCGAGGGAGGCTTTTCTTCGCCGCTGGTGTGCGTCCGGAGCGCCGTTTATATTTATTACAAAAACAACAAAAACAACCGACACCTACGAGCAAAGCGTAACAAAAAAATCGCAGCGTCTAAGCTAGCCTGGAAGATGCGAAAAGTTTTTCTATTTCTCGCGCTCAAGCTCAAGAGTCAAAAAAACTCTCCGACGGCATGAAAGTCGAACATTCTTAGACAGTTTTTGCGCGACGTAATGCGGCATAAATCACATAAATGTTTATAAAACATCGGGAAACATTTATTATTAAGAGATAAAAATATAACAAAATAAAGCAATAAAAAACGGGATACAATTACTGCAGGGTATTGGTAATGACATGATGTAATGTGTGTTGTCGAGAGTGTGAAAATATAAGTCAGTAGTTTTGTAAGTTGATTTGTGCCGATTTCCGTCGATTTTCACGATTTTTCTTTACGGAAAAGCAAGAAAAACGCGGGACTCAGACACTGATTGGAATTTATACGATTCCGGGCATCGCAAATACGCGAACACCGCCCCAGAAAGAACGAACAAATCGAACCTTTGCGCCGTCGATTCTGAACTCTTGGCGGAGAATCATACAAGGTGTTTTAACACAAACGAAACATAAACAAACAATGGAAACAAAATTTCCCGTTTAAAAAAAATAAAAATAAAATATTTTCACTATAGAATATAATATTGCTAATATTTTTAATGATTTGATTCCATTGTATTTGTTTGATTGACTGTAAAGCTCTGATGGTTGCATACGGTTGTAGAGTTACACTCGGCAGCTGCGATTTTTCGCGTTTATCCGATAAGCCAGTAAATTTGCATTTAGAACTGATTCGTTTGATAAAAAAAGCAACACACACAGCGATAACTAACGAACGCGTAGCGCATTGATGCAGTTGCAGGCCGAAACAACTGTATTAGCAGTAGCTGTGAGTCAAACAATGCCAAACGCGTAAATTACTGGTTTATCAAAGGTTTAATTTAAGGGAACACAATAACCATATATGGAAAAAAATTATTGTTAAAAATAAAAATTGCGCAGTTATGTATTTAAAATATTGAATTAACAACACTAGATACAGTTAGTTAAAACGTAAAATTAAAACTTGGAATAAATTGTTACGCACCAAATGTCACGCAATTAAATCGACATTGCAAGCAAACCATTAATTAAAATGATATCAGACGCAAAAGAATTATTATGCACCTGGAATGCTGCCATTTGACAAGACGCAAGAATGCAAGAAAACACAGCAGACGACTAATCACGAAAAAATGCGATTGGTAATTATAAAGCGTAGATACGATTCGAATCGGTTAAGAGATCCAATTACCAATCATTACCGCGACACACAAATACATTTCTAGCCGGGAATATTATATATTCCGCGCGCGGTAATTCATGCGAATTATTATTCATGCACAGTTAGCATGCTGAGGTTAATTTTATATACGTACGTCGACGTTTCGAGAGCAAACGTTGTATCAAGTGCAGGGCACTTGTTTGTTCTTCGTTTGTCGGCGCGGCGGTTTGCGCTGGAATTTCTTCGCCGCAGCGCCGCACGAAAGTGATTTTCATCGAGAACGCGCGCGTGGATTGCGTCACACTCGTGCGCGTGCATATGAAACGCGAAATAAAAGCAAAACCGCATCAAATTACGCACGCGAGAATCAAATCGGAACGTTCGTGCATAACGGTGAAAAATTATTCGAATAACTTGCGCTGCAGACTCATGGTTATGTTTTGTGTGTTATGGGTTGCATATATTTTTGAGCTACTTTTTCGAAATACAATTTACGCATTATTACTTTATATGATCTGGTAATGTATTTCGTGGAAAGTGTCTTGCGTCGTTTAAAAATGAATTAATGTCGTCGGGTGTCGTTAAAGTGCGCGCGTGGTAAATACATAAACGCATTGATAAAATTGATGGCATCAGAGTGATGCATTAAAATGGCGGAAGAACGCAGCGCGCAAACTTAAACAAAACGCAATAAAAGTGCAAAACGCGTAGAATGTTAGACACTTCCGCCACCGACGGGCGCGATATAAGCGAGAGTTATGGCCCGGGCGGTTTTCTTTCAGAGTGTTTTATGTCGCACTCGAACGCAGCCGCCAACTGCAACGAGTTGACTTCACGCCACTCGACGCCATTACAATGTTGCATGGTGGGAATTGTATCACATGAAGATGCCTTGTTGAAAAACGCAGCATGTTGGGTGGAAAAACGTTTTGAGAATTTGCAGAAGTCGTTTTAATTTTTATTGGTTGAAAACTGAAAATAATATTTTAAAATTAAATTTAGACGGCTATCAGAAGCATCTCGCGTCTATATATAAATACTTTTAAGGGTTTATTTAAGGTTTATCCTGGTTTACCCTTAGATTGAAACTGCATCAGATAAGTGACCAAACGAAGCAAACGAGCAGAAAACCTCGCCAGGGGTTGCTGATGACCCTAAGATTACCCCCGGCAGCAAAAACGCCAAATACTTACTTTACTCCATGCACACACTCATACACATTGTATATTCACTTACTTACACATAAAAGATTATTTTCGTTCGTAATTTCCTTTCGGATTTAATCTTCGCATCTAAAATTGCAGGATGAATGGCTGGAATTCAACTAAGAAATAAACAGCAAAT